TTGCGGGGCTATGTACCTTAAGAACAAACTCATTCATAGCATCTTAGAGCCTGAATCCCGCTCGCCAGCCAGTTTTGTCTTCTTTACAATCTCCGAGATGCCTCCAGCCGGACCTGACAGCAACATACGAACTTCTTGATTCATAATAACTGAAAACCTCTGTATATCCCAAACTTCCGCTCAACAGCAAGGTTTATTCAGTTTACAATCTATGTTATCATCCCAGCAGACCTGACAGCATTCTGAACCAAGCTCAACTTCCCGGGAAGCGTACACATTATGCAAGCTAACACAAACTGCTGTCACTTTGTGAATCCGTATGCTCATGTATGAGTTGTACGTATTCATGTATGTGCTCAATCTGTAGCACATTGTCACCATGTCACCAAAAAAAAGCCAAGGAAAGCAAAGCCATTCAGGTTACTCACAAACAACGTTTAAGGACACACAAATACCATAAGGAGACACAAATACCATAAGGACACACAAATACCACGTATCAATTATCAACGTTTCACTGCACAACAACATGGTCACAGTCACTCACAGATTATTTCACACCCCATAAATATCCACCTTTTGCCAGATATTTCCGCTCTCAATATATATAATGACATTCCTGGTGCCTCTCGGGGGGGGGGGGGGGGGGGGGGGGCGCATGAAATTATAAAATTTAAAAGAAAGAAGAATAAACTTAAACATTGCTGAGAATGGTTAAAAGCCATTAATCTGGCAACGTCAATGCAGGGAAACATGTGGCACCTAATGTTTAGGCCGCAGGGCTCGAACTCAGATAGCCGCCGGATCGGAAAAGCAAAATAAAAGTAAAGTAATATAAAAAGTTTGCTGTCAGCCTCTAAAACAATAGCTTCCTGCTACTGCGTAGTATCTGCTAAAATAATAGTTTGCTGCTGTCCTACACAACAACTACAATAAGTTTTCTACTACTACAAATAATAATTTTCTGCTACTTCAAAGAAACTAAAATAGTAAATTTCTGCTACTACACAGCAACTAAAATAATATTTTCTGCTACTTCACAGCAACTAAAATAATATTTTCTGCTACTTCACAGCAACTAAAATAATATTTTCTGCTACTTCACAGCAACTAAAATAATAGTTTTCTGTTACTTCACAGCAACTCTGCTACTACACAGCAACTAAAATAATATTTTCTGCTACTTCACAGCAACTAAAATAATAGTTTTTTGCTACTTCACAGCAACTAAAATAATAGTTTTCTGTTACTTCACAGCAACTCTGCTACTACACAGCAACTAAAATAATAGTTTTCTGCTACTACACAGCAACTAAAATAATAGTTTTTTGCTACTTCACAGCAACTCTGCTACTACACAGCAACTAAAATAATAGTTTTCTGTTACTTCACAGCAACTCTGCTACTACACAGCAACTAAAATAATAGTTTTTTGCTACTTCACAGCAACTCTGCTACTACACAGCAACTAAAATAATAGTTTTCTGTTACTTCACAGCAACTCTGCTACTACATAGCAACTAAAATAATAGTTTTCTGTTACTTCACAGCAACTCTGCTACTACACAGCAACTAAAATAATAGTTTTCTGTCACTTCACAGCAACTAAAATAATAGTTTTCTGCTACAACACAGCAACTAAAATAATAGTTTTCTGCAACTACACAGCAACTAAAATAATAGTTTTCTGCAACTACACAGCAACTAAAATAATAGTTTTCTGCTACTACACAGCAACTCTGCTACTACACAGCAACTAAAATAATAGTTTTCTGCTACTACACAGCAACTCTGCTACAACACAGCAACTAAAATAATAGTTTTCTGCTACTACACAGCAACTCTGCTACAACACAGCAACTAAAATAATAGTTTTCTGCTACTACACAGCAACTAAAATAATAGTTTTCTGCTACTACACAGCAACTAAAATAATAGTTTTCTGCTCCTACATGGCAACTAAAATAATAGTCACTTGTCAGTTTTCTTACCGTCATATTTATTGAAGTAGGCCTTCTTGTACTTGGCTCCGTCCTTGTCGTTCCAGAAGTAGACGGGCATGGAGGGGAAGGGAACAAGGCACACCAGCTCGCCACTCTCATTGTACACAGGCTTGCCTGGCGGGACAAAGGAAGTTTGTAGAGAGGGAGGGGGGGAGGGAGAGACAGAGGGGGTGAGAGAGACGGACCAAGAGAAACAGAGAGAAAGACAGAGAGACAGAGACAGAGAGATGGATAGACAATGATACAGAGAGAAAAAGACAGAGAT